TAGCAGTTTGATGGCGCTTTCGGCAACCACAGAGGCCCTAAAGGATCACAGAGAATGTACTTAATAACCTTTTTTTCTTAATTTCAGAAATCAAAAAGACTACAGAAATGCGATATTTTTTCTTAAAAACAATATTCTATTGAGATAAACAACGAACTAAATTCAGTGCAGTGAAATGATGTTTTTCATTTCTCTTGTTTAATGAAGAAACATAAAAACAGTCCTCAAGAAACAGTCTGAAAAGAGCGATTTTATTTCTGTGATACTCTCTGAAAGATCAAGAGCGTGTGACTTTAACCTTTTCAGTTAATTACCAGCTTCTGCCCGATCAAAAATACGAAAATACAATTTAAATCTTACTTGAGCATCCCGTCAATATTTTTGCAAACGTAATCGGACAGTTTTTCCGCGTGGTGGATTCCTCTTTTAGAGACACTGTCAGCGGATTCTAGGCTCCGCACCATGGGCGTGTCGGTGAAATCTGGACACAGGCAATTCACCCTTACACCATGGGTGGCCATACTCGGCGACAAGCTGCTCTGAAAGTGACCAATTGAACGGGTGGCATTTTGTCTCTTTCTTTTGGGGTCTTGGATGACGACATCGGACATTTCAGCAGAATTAATTGGCAGGAATCAATTTATTTGACTTACGTTTTACATAAAAATATGTAGAGCTTCATCCTGTCAAAATGGCATTTATTGTACTTTTTCATCTTTTTCAATAGTGTATGATAGCGTTCTTCATGACCAAATTTTACTCATTGCATTTAAGCATAGACTAACACTTTTACTGAGAAATAATAGAATGTCTTACATACTGCCAATGAGCGAGTGTATCCCACGACGCCATGTTTGCTTGCACCGTAGACAGGGTTGCAAAAAGACGGCTTCAACCCTGATGAAAATTTTAAACAATAATAATAAAACAGACAACATTTCAAAACTTCAGATCAAAGGGGTTATAACGACACACGTAGGTACAAACCGAGCCCTTAAATAAATGATACAGGGGTATCTTGAAGTTTACTAATTTTTTTCACTGTATTTTAATTTTAAAATGTAGATATCGTTGTGCAAAGAGCCCAAAGGCACAACAAACGGGTCAAGAATGCACACTCTTGTAAACATGTGTCTCTATCATCATTGTGCGCATGCGCAGCCATAACTGATTTCCTGGTTAAATATAAACCTACCCGATACAGAGGCTGTATTTAGGATAACCCCGCCGTTGCCTCCTTGGTCCTTACGGAGATGCTTTAACCCAAGTGTGGTTCCACGTATTACAGCCGTCTGATAAAAACAAAATTATCCAGAGCGGACGTAAAAGATAGGACGAAAGGAAAGGGATATGAAGATACAGATATTCAAAAGAAAATATCTCCTTTGCCAATGATACGTTTTTTAAACATTTGTACTGAAATTCACTTCCCGGCTACTTCCTAATGGAGAACACAATAACATTATCACTAACTGTGTCATTAATATCAGTCAAAAGAATTCTACATTTACCAAATTGATATTTATTAACAGCTCGAAGTCCTTCTCGTTCATGATTCCAGCGTTATTCATGATCACATCTAGCCGTCCAAACTTAGACTTGGTCCTCATCAATGCATCTGTTTCATTAAGAACAAATGAGAAGGGGTAGGTTATGTTTTGCCAAATAGAGGTACTGTAACCGCGTATATAAATGAGATTTGTGCATTCAACCATATTCGTAACTAGTTTTATGTCGCTAGCATATCATTACCAACACACTGTTAATATAGTAGTATCATTAGTTTTATCGTAAGGCCACACTTTTTTATTTTTATGGATGACATCCTCTGGGGACCCCAAAATCGGTGCGAGCGGGCGAAAAAAAAAAACCAGTCCAAAAAAA